TTTCTATAGACCCCAGAACAACCACTTGGCAAGGAAAACAGGTGAATACCGAAGAGAAATCAGGACAATGGCTTGGAGCAACCGTGATTAGTACAAGTAGATCCTCAAGCTATGGGAAATTACTGGTAAGCAGTGTTTGATTGAAACAAAAATAGGCTACAAAAGTAGGAAGGAAAATGACATCTCATGCTTTTTACACCTTATTTTATATGAAATGTATCTACCGATAGTTGTTTGCCGATATCCCCGTCGCCCACCGACCCTCAATTTTCCAGTCAAACACCCGTGCTATTTGATAATTATCTGTATCATATGGTGTAGTTATTTTCATTCGTACTGTCATTAGGTATGTGCACCAAGGTACACCCTTCGCGGCGTCGTGAGACATGACGAGCAGCCTGAGGAAAGAAAGCGATTGCTCCTAGGAAAATGCTATGAAGTATGGAATGACTTGTCTTTTTCTCCCCGCACCATTCAGCCCTGCTTTCACAACCGTAAGTAAATCATCAGATGTTTACTGACGTCATCGCGTGAGACTGAAGTGATGACGCCATTATGAAATAACAGATAGATTACCAGTAACCTCTATTTGGCATGAATATATTTAACAACTGTAGCCTAGGAGCACGAGTATTCTATCGGCTAACTAGTTTCTCAGTTGAACTCGACGAAAAATATAGAGTGCTGGCAGTCTGTTTTGCTCTCGAAATCAGGCAGGGATTATTTCAGACTAGAAGGGATTGCAAGGAGACATGAGTGCCGCGCTCACAAGAACTGAGGGTTTGAAAATTTCAACTTTTTCTAGTCTTGCCCCAACCCCTTTTCGTCCATACCGCCCTTTTGCGTTCGTGTTCACGGATAAACACTCCTCTGACAAAAACCCAAGAATCTGGAAATATAAAATTGTGGGATTTTTTTTCAATTGTGCTTTCGTTGCTTTAGGTTAATGTAAACCAGTGAATGATGTTGGAGACAGCGTGGCCGAGTGGTTAGGGCGCCGGACTTGAAATCCGGAGGTCGCGGGTTCAAGTCGAGCTCTGATCACTTAGCTGGAGTTGTTACTCAGCTTTTCTCGGGGGTCCCTTGTTCAACTCCCCAGTCATTCTTGTAAATAGCCAACTGGTGCGCCTCCCACTAGTTGGGATTTTTTCTAAGCCTATAACTCTAATGTTAAGACGGATTGATATTGTTGGTGTGTTTCAGCTGATGGTGTAGGCGGAGATTATTTAGAGAACAAGGATGGGGTATGCGAGGCCGGATTTAGCGCTGCAATGTCAAAAGATGGCGAAATTGCGTTGTTGGGGGCGCCAGGCCGATTCTCGGTTAATGGTAAGGTGATCTTGTTTTTGTAAAATGCGTGAAAGAAATCTTTGACGAAGAAGGCAGGTACGCGATCGAGTGAAAAAAATCACCTTGCGCGACGAGATGCCACGCGTGGCGTCGTGCGCGATGTGATTAACGCGCTCGATTGTATGTTCGCCCATGTACAGAAGATAAATTTCTTGAGCTTGATATAATGTAGGGTGCAAAATCGAAGACAGAAGGTAAAACGCTCAATTTGACGCCAGTGGAGAAAAGAATTTTTATGCTTTCTTTCACGATAATAAATTGTTTGATGTTTAAAATGTGTTCTTGACTTCCTTGTTTCAAACAGGTTCTATTGCAGTCTACTTTGACAACACAAGGGAAACCATACGATCTTCAAAGAATCAAGTGTTTGATGATTTTAGCTCTGCTAATGCCTTTGGTGAGTAAGCTTCAGTTTAAAGATCAATTTGAGTATTTTCAGNTTCTTTTGGACGCTTTTAATATTATTTGTTTTCTTGTGTTTCTTTTTTAAAACAGTAACTCATTGCTTTGTTCCCTGATTCTTTCCTTTAGATGGGAAGCAACTTTGGCCAGGCACTTCTCGCTGTCGATTTGAACAATGATCGGTAAGGAACGCGACTCAAATATCCAGACGTTTCCACAGTATAAAACAAACCAGTATTAAAACTTTCTACTCTGTCTAAAATGAATTCGCGTGTGACCGTGTTTGGGTAGTTTCCTAAGGCTGTTGCAAAGCTCTGAAACAGTGGGACGAGCGGCTTTTTCCCTCACCATGTTATAAAGTTAAAAATACTTAGCAAAATAATTTTACCAATGGAATTTAAGCGATGTTTTTTCAGTTTATTCGTCACTTGTTTGAATGACTGAATTTACTTCGGATAAGTCTGTCTTGGATTAGTTAATTTTGATCATTAACGCGCTTGAGAGTTTGTAGATTTAAATCCGCTAATCTTGTGTTTTTCTATAGTTATTCTGATTTGTTGGTTGGCGCTCCGTATCACCGACACGGAAAATACAGAGAGCACGGAGATGAAGGAAGAGTTTATGTTTACATAAATAACGGACAGGTAGGATGCCTCTAACCGCCTCTAACTGAAAAGTTTGAATCAGATGCCGTGCTTCTGCCGTGCTTTTGTCGAACGTAATTCCTGAATTTGGTTCAGTTCAGCAGAAGCACGACGTCTGAACCGTAACAATAATTCCATTGAGCGGCCTGCTTGAGTACAAGCAGGACTGCCAGCCGTTGTGTGCCTTCTAGATATCCAATCTGATTATCTCTAGCCCACCAAAAGCTACAAACTGTTTGGTTTCCTATATTTTAATCTGAGGTTACGTAAACGGACAACATCCGTACTTGCTTGTCGCATCTTCGATGTTGCGAGAAAAAAATGTTGTAGCTATGGTCCCTTTGACAGAACATTTTACGCGCAAAGTTACAGCGCGTGTCCGTACTAAAGCTCGCCACTACCATTTAAAACCGTTTTTGTAGTATTTTTCAACTTCTTTATATGTTGACGGAAAGGTCAAAGCGTAGTTACACCCCGATATATTGAGCGTCGGCCCTTTGATTGGTTGATAAGTTTGGAAAACCAACAAAATGGTCTCGAAACTGCAATACCACACGATTCGCTGTATCGTTAACACAACACTTGTTGAGATTATTTTTTGACATTTATTCATTTCTATTGTTCTCTAGTAACAACTGTATTTTGTTTGTTTTTCAGACCCCCGGCACCTTAAATCATGTGGAAGCCATGAGCCTGGATGGAAGAAAAACGAAAGGCGCTCTTTTTGGTTATGCAATGGCTGTGGCTGGGGATTTAAACAGGGATGGTTTTCCAGGTAGAACGAAAACCTTGAATGTATATTTAACGTGACTGGCTAATGTGGCCTGATTTTGAGACCACTTTTAAAATTTTCCGAAGAGTCGTCATACGTGCATTGAGCCTCACAAAGACTAAACTTGAATGTGGCAAATTTTATAAAGTTTGTATGTTTTGTGTTTTATAAACAGATGTGGCTATCAGTGCACCTTATGGAGGGAAAGATCAGGGGGGTGTAGTATTCATCTACTTTGGAACTAAAGATGGCATCGAAACGTCGTATAGACAGGTAAGAAACGAGCGAGCTTTTAAATGAGCTTTTGAACGGACTATTAACTCATGGGGGTGAACTGGATTAGGATCAGTGATCCAAGATCACTCAGTCAGTCACGGTGCATCAAAGTGTAACCTATGTGGATTCATCGGTTCCTTTGATGCACCATGATCTGACGAATCTTGGATCACTGATCCTGTACCAGATCAACCCAAAGGAACACATCCTTGATTGATCGATAAATCGATTGATTGATTGATTCGATCATTCATCCATTGAAGGAAGTCATTCGTATGCAAACATGGTCTTGGTTAATTTTTATATTGTTCTTCCAGTAATTAGATTTTACTAATCTACTGTTAGTGTAGCTTTAATCCTCTGTTATTTTTTTCTTTCTTTCATATTAATCTTGTTGCTTACGTAGGCAATTGAAGCATCTGATGTTTCTCCCGGTGTGAAGACTTTCGGATTTTCGCTTTCTGGTAATTTGGATGTTGACAAAAATGAATATCCAGGTATTATTAAAAAAAAAAAACAGAACGTTTTCTCTCATTTAAAAGTTTGAGAAAGAATGTACGCATAATATTCACAAATGTAACTGTCTTTGCACAGATCTCGCCGTTGGTGCGTATTCATCAGACAGGGCCTTCCTACTGAGGTAACAAATCAACTTGTATACCTCGTTTCCCGGCATTTAATTCCACAAATAGATTGAAAAAACAAATTGTGTGCTGGTTTAGTTATCAGAAAGAGTGGTTTTCAAATCTAGCCAATCAGAACGAAGAAATTATTTTCTCGTCCAATCAGTTGCAAGACCAAAATCAACCGTGGTGTGAGTTACGCAACGCTTGGAAACGGTTCATGTTTTCCCGCTATTGTTGCGGGTTACATAATTTCCTGCTCTTTGCATCAGCTACATGTTTTCCCGCCTTTGGAAATGGTTTCCTGATACTAACTACCTGTTTCCCGCCTTTTCGTATGCTATTTCCTGTCCTTTACGCCGCTTACATGTTTTCCCGCCATCGGCGCTGTTTACGTGTTTTGGTACTTTGTAACGGTCTCATGTTTTTCCGCCAGCATAACCAGTCACATGATTTTGCTTCATCACTCTGATTGGTTTATATCGCTGTATGTGTATGTACGTAGTGTTTTCTAGTCTTACTCTTATGAACATTTGTGTTTCAATCCCATTAGGGCCCGTCCAATCGTAGAAATGGACGGCAAGATAATCTTGAGTGCGACGCAGATTTCGCTGGAAGACAACAAAACCATGCGATTAGCAAGTGACGGCATTTCGCGTAAAAGGTATCCACTTAATATGCTGCAGTGAAATTCTGAAATGGCTTGAAACTGTTGTTTCCGATGTTTACAAAAAAATGTCTTTATTGCAGCGTCAATGTGACTGTGTGCTTGAAGTACAAGAATCAGAAGCAATCCTCTGGTAAGTTATCTGGTAAATTAAACAATTAACGGTTGTTCAAAGGATCGATAACACTTATTCCCCAATGAATGTCTGCCAGTGGATAGGCCGCTTTTTTAAGCCTTTCGTTCTCAATCTACCATTGAACAACTTCGGTCAGCTCTTATAAACTAAAAGAAGTGGACATAGGCATATAAATCCCCCATGATTTTTCTTCAGTAAAAAATATGCTAACTAGAGGCATTTTCGCTTTTTGTTAATTCTGGCCTTTTGCAAGTTACATCATCATGTATTCTGTGCGCCACCGATCGACCTCCATTCCACCTGTTATCATTTCCGCCGGGCATACCCCGAGGGATTTGACATTTTTTCTAATTATTCTGCTGTCTATTCCCCGCCCCCTGGACTCCTATCTACCTCAACTATGTCTGTATGTGTACGAAAAAGGGTGGCAATATCGTCTGCTGTACTATAGCAAAAACAGTCGTTTTGCCAAGAACGCAACGCTTTTCTATAGTTCATTGAACGAAAGATACTACGTAGAGTGTAGAGTAATACATAAATACCATATATTGTTTTGTTCCAGCCAAGCCGAAACAAAGTCTTCCGGCCCTCCTACTAAATATCTCTTTACGTCCAGCGAGCGGTGCGTCGCCATTGCGTTTGATAAACCACGTGCACGAAGCAATTTTTTGATTTACCCCATCCCCCTACGCCCGGTACAAGACCGCCTTAAACAATTCTCCACCCCCGGGCACGAAGGGCTGGACTTGTCCCGGGGATTGCTCGGGTGGTGGGGGAATGGTAACAGGTGGAATGGAACCACGTATTATGTTGTAACATATAGCGTTCAGTTCACGTCCGTTGTTCTTGTATATACTAAACTTATTTACTTCGCCCAGTCCAAAAACAAACGTGCGTTAAGATTCAAGAGAAATTTAAAAAGTTAGCCAGAGCCAAAATATTTTATTTTTTTTATTTTTTTNTGAAACTGTTGTTTCCGATGTTTACAAAAAAATGTCTTTATTGCAGCGTCAATGTGACTGTGTGCTTGAAGTACAAGAATCAGAAGCAATCCTCTGGTAAGTTATCTGGTAAATTAAACAGTTAATTAACGGTTGTTCAAAGGATCGATAAGACTTATTCTCCGATGAATGTCTGCCAGTGGGTAGGCTGCTTGTTTAAGCCTTTCCTTCTCAAAGCGCCATCTTGAACAAAGTGCCTCCCTCGACTGACAACTTTGATCAGCTCTGGTAAGCTAAAAGAAGTGGAAATAGGCATATAAATCCCCCATGATTTTTCTTCAGTAAAAAATATCCTAACTAGAGGCATTTTCGCTTTGTGTCAATTCTGGCCTTTTGCAAGTTACATTATCAAATTCTCCTTGCATTCCATATTCTGTGCGCCACCGATCGACCTCCATTCCACCTGTTATCATCCCCCCGGGCATACCCCGAGGGATTTGACATATTTCTCTTATTCGGCGTCCTATTCCCCTATATCTACCTCAACTATGTTTGTATGTGTACAAAAAGGGGTGGCAATATCGGTTACCGTACAATAGGAAAAACAGTCGTTTTGTCAGGAACGCAACGCTTTTCTAGAGTTCATTGAACGAAAGATACTACGTAGAGTGTAGAGTAATACATAAATACGTTTTGTTCCAGCCAAGCTGAAACAAACTCTATCGGCCTTCCTACAAAAAAATCTCTTTACGTTTGATAAACCGTGTGCACGAAGCAATTTTTTGGTTTACCCCAACTCCTACCCCCGGTACAAGACCGCCTTAAACAATTTCCCAACCCCGGGCACGAAGGGTTGGACTTGTCCCGGTGGACAGGTGGAGAGGAACCAGTTGTTCAGTTTTGTTAGTTGTTCTTGTATAAACCCAACATATTTACTTCGCTCATTCCAAAAAAAGTGGGTATAGATTAAAGAGAAATTTAAAAAGTTAGCCAGAGCCAAAATATATATATATATTTTTTTTCACGCTCAAGGCACTCATTTCTGCATCACTTTTATTTACTTTTATTTCAGAAATGCGAAATGTGACTTTTACAGTAGAGCTGGACAATGATCGGTTAACAGATGATCATGATTTACGCCGAATGTTCTTCTTCCAAGATAATAAGACTTCCTTTTCGATCACACGGCAAATATCTTTGACGAAAGAAAATGAATGGTACTGCAAGTTTCTCGACATAGCGTATTTAAGGGTAAGTTACGCTACGATTCACTATGCAGCACAAATCTTAGTTATTGTCTTTACTCTGATTTACTCATACTGTGAACAGTTCTGTTTTTCTTTTCTTTGTTTGATCTTCGACCTGCCATCATGAATTCTGGGAAGACGACATACTACTCAGGGTGGTGGGATGGGGTGAGAGAATGGCGTGGTGCAATCAGTGATCAGCGGTCGCGTAGGAGCTTGAGGTGGAGATGAAGTAAATTTCGCATTTTTCTAAATCGAACCAGTTTTGAAACATTGAAATGCTCCGCTTTCTGGCAATTTGGAAGCGATAATGACTAGGCAGTCCAATTTCTTGTACTGAGATGATATGATAGTCAATCGCAGGTAATAACATTCGCTCCCCCCTTCCCCCCCATCCCATACCCAGTATTTTGTCAAGTTGTTCGAACTGTTGATTACAGCCATTGATCCATCTTTGAGAGTAGAAATCTTAGCTATCTTGCCATACTTTTTCTAAGCTTACATGGGGTGTCTCTTCTCTGGACTGGCTTTAACTACGGTTACATTAGCCACTTGTCAGTAATAAGAAAATTCACCTTTTTTCTGAAGGAAAAGGAGCAACTTCAAAACTTGGTGGACCCGTTAACATTTGACCTGACCTACGACCTCAAGACTTCCTCGTGCACTCTGTGTCCAATATTGAACAACTACAATGACATCAGTCAACGGTCCTTTAGAGCTGTGGTAAGTACCATATGAATGCTTGAAAGCAATCCAAAGTTTTGGGACAACTAAATGCTCTTTTAGAGAATTTGTAATAAATAACTTTGTCAGTAGGCGAAGAACACAGATATAAATACCACGTTACTTTAAAGAAAATTCCGTCTTTCTGAATTACGTTTGTAAGAATTGTTTTGAGAGCTATCATGTTGTTTGTGCATGTTCTACTGCATTTTAATACTGCTGTTTTTTCATAGCATTCAATGCTGTATTTTCTTCCTATTGTTGTAAAGGTTGGCTTTGTCAAGAAGTGCGGAAACGACAAAATCTGTGAACCTGACTTATCTATCAAAGGAGAAGTGAAATTTGGCGATGGGTGAGTCTTAAATGATCGTGATCACGTCACATTTCCTTCAATGTTAGTCCTGAGGGTTTGGTGACAAGTCTGGCTAGCAACTTCGTTCCCAGGGTTTTTCTTCCCCGGCCTTCTGAAGAAGGGAGACCCTAGAAACTAGCTTGCTATCCCCAAATGATGAATTTTAGTATTCTCATTAGCTGCACTTGAAAGTGTTTTGAAAATCATAAGGTGAAAATAGAGGTTGATCACTGTGTTTCACTGCCTTGACTGACATTCTATCATTATACTTCAGGAGTCAAAAGGAGCTTCTCATTGGTGGTGTCAAAGAAATTACCGTCATGGTGGAAGTGGAGAATAAGGCACAAGACGCAGCCTACCCGGGAAAGGTCATCGTGACGTATCCATCTGTAATCGACTACGTTAGCAGTCAGGTTGGTCGATGTGAAAAAAACTCGTATTTCAACATTGCATTAGTCGTAAGATTTTCAAAAACACGTCACTTGGGAAGTTTCCGAGGAGTGTCGAAGGCTTCTACGAAGGGGACTCGACGAATTGCCGGCGAATTTCCTTTTAATCGTCGTATTTAATAGGGGTTTTTAATTTGAACATTCGCGGACATTCTGAAAGTCTTCTTACTGACATGCCAGCGAGGTTGTAACTTGTAGATCCAAATTGGATGATATTCCAATAAATTGAATCCGTTTCATTATTTCCTAATACAGTCAGTATGTTGTAGTCTATCTTTCTCTAAGTCGCGGGCATTTGACTCACCTGAATTAGTTCTTTCTCTCCTCTGGGAGAATAGGACCATGGAAATAAGTCTTAGTTCTTATTAAATAACTAGGCTTATCACGCTTTGGATGATGAAAGTAATTACCACGATTCTCTCTCTTTCTTTAGGAAGTGTCTTGTTCCACGGAGACGAAAGATGACGGGAAACGAAAGGCTGAGTGTACTGTCGGCAATCCTTTCGAAGGAAACCAGAAAGTAAGTACCTCTAAAGTAACAGGTGCCATTTTCGGTCAGAATTCCAACTGGCTACGCAAGTAGATTAAGTTTATTGCTCTCCTTTCCCCCAGAACTTATTAAAATAATTCTTGACAGATTTACTGCATTGTTGCCTGTTTCAAGAGTTTTTTGATTCTCTACGCTTATTTTTGTGATGATTATGATGTGGAAAGTATGAAAGAGTAGAACAAAAGGTGGAAAGTGTAAATATTGAACTGTAATTTTACCTTGTAATCTTCTTGGTTGTTGTTATTGTTGTTTTGTATAGAAACAATTCGACATTATATTCAACACTCAAAGAGTCACTGGAAACATATCTGAGTTTACTATCCATCTTGAGGCATCAAGGTAATTATTTTAAAAGTACTGAAAATGCGTTTCCATAAGTCAGCCCTGTCAAAATGCTTTGTAGCAACAAGCAGGATAACAGACCTAGTCGGCAGATAAGGTCAGAGATGGATTTGGTATTCGTCAGAATGGGTGAAATCCAGTGGAGCGTAGGCGGCTAAAAATCTACAGTACGAGGCAAAATCGACACTACACGATTGGCTGAAAAATCTCGCGCCGCTTTTTCATCCAATCAGAAGTAAAACCAAAACCGATGGTGACTCGCTCGCACTCTTTTTCCCGCGCTTTGCATTAGCTACGTGTAATTACTTCGAGTTTTAATTGGTTCATTGGATAGTCTGTGTAGTTTGTGATTGGCTAGAGTAATTGCGTTGGTTTTGGTTCTACAACACTCAATTGAAAATCGCTCCAGGGCATATAATATGAAGTTGTGTATTATGTTTGTTGGTAAACTGTGGTTTTGATTGAGGAATCCTGTAATTTGTTTTATTCAGTGACCTCACTCAGGACGCGGACCTCTCCAATAACGAGTATACACTCCCAGTTGCTGTCAGATTTGAAGCAGATATGAATATTATCGGGTAAGTTAAACTGGAGAGACTGGACACTAACTTAATGCTCGAGATGGCGCCTACTGCTGCTACACTCGAGTGTTTTCCCTGATGAAGCCAGGGAATTGTTGTGTTTGTTCCGGGCTGTATTGAAATTTTCGAAACAAACCATTCTTGGAGTATTGTTGTATTCCAGAGGTTGACGAGCTCCAGTGTTGATGCAAAGTACTTTTGTTTCGCCGCCATTTTGAATTCTTCCGTGTTTTAGAAGAGCTCCTCGTTACGCGACTGTTGTTGAGTAACGGCAGACACTACAGAATTGATACCTGTCTGACCCTGAGTGTTGCGGTATTTTCAGATTTTCTAATCCAGATCAAGTCGTGTACGGTGACAAAGTTACAGAACCGATCGAAAGCGCTTACGATATTGGACCTGCAGTAAAACAAACCATAACGGTGAGTAGACGGTATCAACAATATGTCGGCCTTTTTGGCGTTTTGAGACACCGTGGCACATTGGACTCCACGTTTAGAGCTTTGGGTTCCTGTTCTGGCCAGGGCAAGATATTTCTTAATACAATGTCTTTCTTGTTTGGAAAAGCAAAGGCCGGTATTAAAAAAAAATCAAAAATTTCAAATCTTTCTTGACGGCGGCTTACAAATGGACTGCTGGCAGTCGCGGTCCTTTCTGTCAGGGTCAGACGTGTGTTTATCCGGAAACACGAACGCATAATCCGGTATGGACGAAACGAGGTTAGGGCGAGGCGAGAGAAAACCGGCTGCGGACACCTTGACTCGTCCCAATCCCTTCTAATCTGAAATGCCTGGCCTCATAATCTCCCGTCTCATTTCGAGAGAAAAACAGACCGCCAGAAGTCTAGCTTACAAATGGCATAACACTTGCGTTTTCTTACCGTACAGGCCACCGTTGATTTGTCCAGTGACTACAAGATGTCTTAACGAACTTTGTGCCTTTTATATTGATTTCACGGCGTACTGGAATTTTTATTGTGGATGTAGGCCGTTCATACCGTTTAAACCTGTTTTCAGGTGCGCAACAATGGACCCAGTCCTATCGAGTTCTCAGAGGTGACAATTTTAGTTCCGTTCAAATATAACAAGGAAGAAGATCCAAACTATTTGTTGTACTTGATGGAAGTCCAGGTGAGTCGAGTACGCTTGTTTTGGAAATCCTTCCATTATTCCATATACAGCCGGACGCCATCAAAGATCTTTGGAAATGTAACGTCACGCAAAGAGGCTGGTAAAGCACACGGCCTTCAAACTTAGCGACATGCAAGTCACTTCTTGCAGTTCCCGGTGATGTTCTTTTGTTTATCATCATCATCATCATCATTTATTTGCCACAAATTAAAAAGAAACATCTACAACAACCCAATTTTTTGGTAAAGCGAGGAGATCTCCCATAAACCTTCACGGGGGCCATCTTAGTCGTCGATATGGTATAAATAAATTTTAAGCTTTGTCTGCGTGGCTTGGCCAATGACACCATTCACCATTCTTTCATCACGAATTTAATCATCTTTTTCTTAAAGCTGGGAAAGCTTGTTGAACCAGTGATAGATAACAGATAGCCTTTAGGACCTTGATAGGGTATGGTAAATGGAGTAACTCACCAGTGATTGTTTGTTTTGCTTTAGGTTCTTGGAAATGCTGGAAGCTGTAATGTGAAGACCAATTATAAGAGTCTGCAGGTTTGTGGAATGTACACTTTAAATTTCGGTGTTTGCAAAGTGTAGGAAGTAAAGCGAAATTTCAGTTACACAAAATATCAGGTTGTGAAGGTCTTTTTCTCTTGAACGCTTTTACTTTACTTAAGACTCACACTCGGATGTCTCAACTTATTCTTATACCATATCTTTTTTAGCGTAGTACCAATTCCAGTGAGCAGGTTGGTCAAGAGTCCAGTTCCTCCGCGGACAAATCAAGACGTGAGGTCGAGAAGTCAAATGTCGAACTGGTAATTAAATTAGCGTCCTTTCCTCAAACGAAAAGATGAATAAATGACGGTTGTCAGAACGTTTTTGTAGTTGTAAAATCCAAACCCAAACTAAAATAATTATATCTGGCCAATCATAGCCTGCGTCGCAGACTCTACCTACCGCTGGTCACCGGGTAAATTTCCGTCTGCGACACGGGTTAGCCAATCACAACAAGGCAAATAACCCAGTCAGCCAATGTGAACTCAAAGAAGATACATACAACCCGTGAAAGCGCGGGAAACCATGCAAGCGGTCCCAAGCGCCTCAAACCATGCAACCCGTGCTAAGCGCGGGAAAATGCTCGTAACGCAAGACACGTTTGGTTTCGCTTTTAACTGGTTAAAAAAAAGCGTGTTCGGTCGGATTGTTGAACAAAATAAGAAGAATTTGTTAAATGATGGATGTGTCACTTGTTAATTTTCAGCCTTGTGAATCTGATAGCGACATGACTTGCCTCAAGGTTCCCTGCTATCTGGGAAGAATGAGGCGAGGGGACCAAGTGAAGATACAAATGATGTCCCGTCTCTGGCAGAACACCCTTATCAAGGTACTCGATTGGTCAGAGAAACTGCGCCTTTCGCTGCTTCTTTTGTTCT